GCAGGAGTGGCGGTTACGGCAGCGACGACAAGAGCTACGGACGCGGTCGCGGCCGATTCGACGGCGAGTGTCACTATTGCCACAAGAGCGGACACATGTGGCGCGACTGCTACAAACTCCCTGATGGTTGGACCCCTGCTCAAGGCCAAGAGGGTAGAGGAGCAGGAGGAGGGAGAGGACGAGGCCGTGGAGGCCGTGGCGGTCGCGGTGGCGGAGCTGCAAACATGAAGAGCGGAGACAACGACAAGGACCCGAGCGACGATCGATACCCGGGTCTATTCTACTTCGTGTCGACGCAAGTACCGGCTGGTCCAGAGAAGGATGAAGGCTTTGAGGAGCCAGCAGCTGTGGGGAAGGTGACCCTACACCCCCTGGACTATTGGGTGATTGATAGTGGCGCTACCTATAGCATGACACCTCGCCCGGACTTGCTCACCGAACTCGAGCCGTCACCGGTGAAGCATGTCACATCGGCTTTGGGGCAGCGAGCAGAGGTGAAAGGCATGGGAAAGGCCATGTTCAAGGGTGCTGATGGGAAGATGGTGGGCCTCAAGAACGTGCTTTGGGTGCCCAGCCTTGCTGCAAACCTGATTTCCGTGCGGCGGTTGGCAAAGGCCGGCATGGACACGAACTCGAAGGGAGCCAAGACCTACACCGCAAGGCTTGGCGATCGAATTCTTTGGGACCTTCATGAGGACAGGGATGTCTACAACGAGATGTGGCAGATCCCAGTGGTCCCTATGCCTAAGGAGAGGCAAGTGGCAGCAAGCATCAGCACCAAGGATGGAGCGGTCGGTAGCGACGATGGCGCGAACGGTCGCGCTAAGGAGAATGAGCTCAAGAAGAGCAAACCTGGAGGGACCAGCAAGTTCAGTGAACCTAAGGAGAGTGGTGCAGCAACCAAGGAGCAGCAAAAGGGTGAGGAGAACCCAGAGGCAGCAGCGGAGGAGGACTACGGAGAGAGTATGTGGGGCGCTATTGCGAGCGCGGCATTCTCCAATCCAACTTCGGCTACGGGGGAGTGTGATTGGCTCACCTTGCATCGGCGCATGGGGCATGTGGCCCTGCCCATCTTGCAGCAGCTAGTGAAGAATGAGATGGTTGCTGGCATACGTGTGAAGGGGGAGCCCGATGAGGTGCTTGGCTGCCCGACGTGCATTCAAGCCAAGTTCACCCGGTTTCCGTTCCCTAGTTCGGAGGCAACGGCAAAGGCACCGCTTGATGAGGTGGTGATGGACGTGGTGGGCCCCCTGAAGCTTGGAGCTGCTGGAGCTGAGTATTTTCTCACCATTGTCGACGTCTACACCCGCATGACTTGGGTGTACGTGCTGGCCAAGAAGAGCGACGTGGCTGAAACGTTGAAGACGGATTGGTTCCCGATGGTGGAGCGGCAACAAGACCGTCTAGTCAAGTCAATCCGCACCGATCGAGGGGGAGAGTTCCTGAGCAAGGAGTTTGGGTTGTGGCTGAAGAAGAATGGTATTCGGCACTCCCTCACCATGCCATACTCCCCTGCAATGAACGGCATCGCCGAGCGAGCGAACCGCACAATCACAGAGGCGGCACGCGGGTTGCTCATTGAAGCCGGGCTACCCGACTATTTCTGGCCTGATGCGGTGCGGAGCGCGTGTGTGGCCAAGAACAGAGCCTTGACTCATGTGGGAGCAGACAAATGGGTGCCCTATGTGGAGTGGCTAGGAAGGAAGCCAAAGGTGGATATGCTTCGGGTGTTCGGGTGCATGTGCATGGCGCTCGTGCCTAAGCATCTTCGGCACAACAAGCTTGGTGCCAAGGCGGTGTGGGCCGTGCACTTGGGCATGGCTCAAAACAGCAAGGGATGGCTTCTTTGGGACCCATTCACCAAGAAGTTCTTGGTGAGCAGGGACTGCAAGTTCATGGAGAACTTCATGTACAAGGATTGGAAGGCGGAGAATGAGGCGAAGATAGGCGTGCGGTTTGGGGAGGTGAAGAGTTCCGGTTTGGAGCATGTGGAGCTGCCTTTGGAACTGAGCAGTGGCAGCACAACCACAAGGCAATCCTCCCTTGTGAATGGGGGAGAGGAGGCCAATGATGCAGAGGAAGAAGAGGAGGAGGTGCAGCAAGTGAGCGAGCGTGCACCGTCACTTCCTTCCCGTACTACGAGTGCTCCACGGATTCGAGCCACACCGCAGCAACGCCAAGGCCTTCAAGTCCCTGCAGCTGAGGAGGAAGGAAGGGGGAAGAGGAGAGTTCAACCCCCTAATAGGCTGACCTATGATGCGCCGAGAAAGCAGGGCAAGACAGCCCTGGCCGGAGCGGCAATGATGGTCGGAGACGACGAGGAGAGTGACTACGAGGAGTGTGCCTTCGCGTTCTTCTCTCCGGTGGAGATGCCGGGAGAACCAGCAACTCTCAAGGAGGCTTTGGAGAGTAGTGATGCTGAGGAGTGGAAGAAGGCCATGGAGAGTGAGCTGAAGAGCATCGAGGAGAATGACACGTTTGAATTGGTGGAGCTACCGGAGGGGCGTACGGCGATAACGTCCAAGTGGCTCTTCAAAATCAAGTCGGATGCCGACGGCAAGATCGAGCGCTACAAGTCTAGGCTTGTAGCCAAGGGGTACCAGCAGAAGGAGAAGGTGGACTTCAAGGAGCTGTTTGCCCCTGTGGTGAAGCCGACGACGCTGCGAACCCTATTCGCGGGAGCCGCCATCAAAGGATGGGTAGTAAAGCAAATGGACATCGTAACGGCATTCCTTAACGGCATCCTTGAGGAGGAGATTTTTATGGCGCAGCCAGAGGGGTTTGATGATGGTAGTGGCAGAGTGTGGAAGCTGAAGAAGGCCCTCTATGGGCTGAAGCAGGCCCCTAGGCAATGGTACATGAAGCTGCGCGAAGTGTTGGAGGGGATCGGCTTCACTCCCTCAACGGCCGATCACTCCTTGTTCATGCTTGGCGAGGGGGAGCAGAGGAGTTTCATGGTGGCTTATGTGGATGACATCCTCATTTTCTCACCCTCTTCTGACCTTGTGAAGGAGGTGATGCTGAAGCTTCAAGACAAGTTCAAGTGCAAGGCCCTTGGTGACGTGAGCTTCTACCTTGGGCTCCACATCGAACGAGATGTGGAGAAGCGGTGCATGCGGGTGCATCAACGAAAGTACCTGGAGGCATTGGCTGCCAACTTTGGGCAGAGTGAAGGCCATGTGGCTACACCCTTTCCCTCTCGGTTCAAGTGTGTGAAGGGACCAGAGGAGGAGAGCGTTGGTGAAGAGGAGAGGCGCCGATTTCACTCGTTGGTGGGCAGCCTCATGTATGCGGCGGTAAACACCCGACCGGACGTCGCGTTTGCTACCGGGCAGCTGGCTAGGGTTGTGCAATGCCCTAATGAGGAGCAAGTAGCAGCTGGAATGAGGGTGGCCAAGTATCTTGGCCAAACACCGACCGTTGGGCTGCAATACTCGGCGGCGGCACAAAGGCGCCAAAAGGGCGCGGATGGTGTTGAACCCGGGCGTTTGTTCCTCACCGCCTACTCGGATGCTTCATATGCATCAGAACCAGAGGACATGACAAGTGTGGGAGGCTTCATATGCTGTGTTGGTGGAGGCCCAACTGCTTGGGAGAGCAAGAAGCAGGTTGACCAAGCTTTGAGCTCGGTGGAGTCCGAGTACATGGCACTCTTCCGTGCCGTACGGGAGATTGTGTGGCAGCGGCGTTTGTTGGCTGAATTGGGGGAGGAGCAGCAAGGACCTACCCCACTGTACTGCGACAGCCAGGGTGCCATTGCTCTTGCTAAGAACCCTGTGTTGCATGGACTCACGAAGCACATGAGGGTGAAGTGGCATTGGACGAGGAGCATGGTAACCGCGGGTGAAGTTGAGTTGCGCTACGTGAAGACCACGGGGCAGCCGGCTGACATGATGACCAAGAGGCTGGTGGAGCAGCAGCATTGGAAGTGTTGCAAGCTGGCTGGGATGGCTCTGAACTGAGAGAGCAACATATCCTAAGGCCAACAATCCGAGGGGGAGTTTGTTGGTGCAACCCTACGGTTTGCACTCGGCTTGTTGTCCGTGTGCGTGAATGTGTGTGTGTATGGAATGGTATGAGGGCATGGGATAATATATATTTCATGCTTATAATTGTGTGTGAATGTTGAGTCATGATGTCAAGTGTGTGTGTCGAGTCAATAGCGAGTTATCGCTAGACGCGTGTTACGCGGTCGTTTGTGTCTCGCGCGCGGTTTCTACTTTGTCGTGCGCGGTTTCTATTTTGTCCTGTGTCGAACGTTCGGTGTGTCGCAGGTGTGTGCAGCAGACCCATCAAGAACTCAAGGATGAGTTTGTGATGAAGAACCCGAGCCTTGGTGTCAAGCCTCAAGTGATTTCGAAGCTTGCCAAAAGGGTACACCTCAAGATATTGAAGATAGTTACATTACTTTGTGTAGTGTAACATTTCACTTGGTGTAGGCCCTAGTGAAGGGTAGTTTCGAGACCCTTCGTGGTTGGGGACAGTGTGGCACTGTTCCACATCACTGTACCTCGGCTCTTGGGGTTTTTAGGAGCTGGGAGTCATTCCCAACTCGTAACTCTTCCTATCTTGTGTTCTAAGACTATAGTGGCTGCCATAGTACCGTTCGTTCAAACCGACGCTGTGTCGTCAATTCTTTATCAAATCGTGCAATCTAAATTGCTAATTGTAGACGACGTGAAGACGCTCCAGATCCAATTTGAATCAAGTCATTTGCAGCTGTGAGCAGAACGCTATCAACGTTTGAAGCTGCTGTGCAGAAATCCGTCTGTGCTCTCTATCTTTCGTTTTAGGCACATTCAAGCCTATTGTGACTATAACAGCCATTGTCCCGCCCCCTTCCGTTTTCAGCAACGAGGGGCTGCTCGTGAAGGGTGGAGGAGCAGAAGGGTGGCGCAAGGTAGTGAAGGGAGAAGCAGAAGGGTGGTGCAGAGTTGGAATCGAGAGGAGCAACAAGGTGAATGTAACAAGACATGCTGACAAATCTAAGTTTATTGTATTTAGGTAAATTGCAGAAAGACTGGAAATTCAGGAAGGAGGAAAAAGGAATGGAAAGGGCGAAAGGGGCGAGAACGAGCGGGAGAGGCAAAGTCAATGCCACCTCTCACCTCAATGCCACCTCTCACCTCAATGCCACCTCTCACCTCAATGCCACCTCTCACCTCAATGCCACCTCTCACCTCATTGCCACCTCTCACCTCAACCAGGTCATAATTATCCTCAACGCCTTCCTCCATTGCGTCCTCCTCTGCATCTTTGGCGTTATTTTCACAATTCTCTTCCGCTCCTTCCCTCTCTGCCGCTCCTTCCCTCTCTGCCACTCCTTCCCTCTCTGCCGCTCCTTCCCTCTCTGCCGCTCCTTCCCTCTCTGCCGCTCCTTCCCTCTCTGCCGCTCCTTCCCTCTCTGCCGCTCCTTCCCTCTCTGCCGCTCCTTCCCTCTCTGCCGCTCCTTCCCTCTCTGCCGCTCCCTCCCTCTCTGCCGAGTGTCCTTCTCTTCCCTCTCCCCCAAGCCCTGCTCCTACTGCCTCCACTGGCTCCTCCCCTCGCCCTTCTCCCACCGCTTGCTCCATCTCCTCCATTACTCCTCCAGTAGAGTCCCCATCCATCTTTTCTTCAACCCCTTTCTCTCTTGTCTCGTCTCCCGGCTCCTCCCCTCGCCCATCTCCCAGCACAGCTTCCTGCATCTCCTCCCTTGCTTCTCCACCAGATTCACGCTTCCACTCTTCTTCACCCCCTTCCTCCGTCTTTTTGTCTACCAATTCAATTTTCTTCTCATCGTCCTCGTCTCTCATTCCCCCCTCTTCCTCCCCTTCCTCCTCCTCTTCCGCCTCCTTCTCCCCCTCACCCCCCTCGTCCTCCTTTTCCTCCTGACCCTGATCCTCCTTCTCCTCCTCCCCCACAGTTTGCCTCTCCATGTTTTCTCCCCGCTCCTCTCCGCTCTCCATTATTCCACCTCCCGCCTTCCGTCCCTCAAGTCCGCGCACTGATCTCCCCACTCCGCGCACCTTCTCGCGGATGGCTTCCGCATGGGCTGACAGGGCTGCCAGATGCTGCTGCTAGCATGGGGAAGCAGGGGGCAAGGGGGACGGAAGGGCGAGTACAAGGGAGAAGGGGGGGGGGGGAGGGAGGGAGGGGAGTGAGGGGAGGATGGTGGAGTTGAAGTTCGAAACGTTGTCGCGAATGGCCTCAAGCAGCGGCGAACAGATGCTCGCTGAACCCAAATGCCACCTCCTACGTAGGAGGAACTATGATGCGTCTGAAGGATTAAAATGCAGAGCGTAGCGATAGCGAGAGAGCTTCACGCGAACTCCCGCGCAGCTACATGCGTGGGTGCCGAGTAGACTAGGTCGTCAGCCACCGCCCTGCCAAGTCAAACGGTTGTTGACGGCCCTTGCTGTCGTACGGCCCTCTAACACCGTCCATCACCTGCCCAGTCGGAACCTTCACTTAGCCTCGGCTGATAACAGGGCGACCTAAATGTTCCTGGCAAAGGCAAACAGTAGCCTATGGGGTTGGGTCCACTACGCTGCAATCAGATGCACGCTAAGTTGGAAGCGTTGGTAGTACCGTACCGCCCAGGCCAAGGTTTGGAGGCGTGGGAGACAAGTTAGTATTTTCCGAGCCACTCGCAGCACACATGCGAGATGTGTGTGACCATGCGATATGCGACACACGAGGGTGTGCGACACATACAAGATGTGCACGACACATGCGAGACGTGTGTGATATTTGAGAGACATGTGCGAGACGCACTCACCATCATCATTGGCTCTGAGGAAGAGCCATCCGCCACGCGAGCTCGCTTGCGCCCTGTCTTAATACCCAGAGATGACGGCGCCACGCCGCTCGCCCATTCCGTCCCGATCGCGTCCGCCAGCGCGGAAATCGCCTCCACCTTCTTTTCAATCCACTCCTCCAATTCCGCCATAGCTTTTCTTACTTCGCTCGTTTCGTCGTCGTGGCTCCTCGCCCCCGTTGCTATCACAGTCGTTGCGTTCACGTTCTCCAGTAAGTTCGTCTCCTCACCCTCACCCATGTTTTCGTTCTGTCCGTTCCGCGCATTCTCTCCATCTCTCCCCTTCTCTGGAGCCGTCGATCTGCGACGGCCGGTCACCGGGCGGGGACCAGCGAGTCGCGATACCATAACGACAGCAGAGCGGCTGAGTCACTGTGTACAGAATACGAGAGATTCACTACATGACCGCGATGCTGCATACTAAATAGAATGGAGTGCAAGGAGTTCCGTGCACGCAGAAATGGTGCTGCTGCGGGTGCCTCTCTGGCTCTGGGGTGGTGTTCTCTGGTGACTCCTGCGGGGGGGAGGAGGGGGGCGTATGTGCCGAGTTTGTTAGGGCGTGTTAACTTTTCATATTCGGACTAAACTGGATGTGTGTGAGCTGGTAACTGACGCTTAGAAGAGGCAAAATGATTGCCTAGTCTTGTGTTTCCACTTTCTTCCCGTCGTGATGCAATCTGTCCAGAGTCTGCCATTTTTGTACACGTAAATCAGGGCCCATTCCGGACTCTGGGCAAACCTATGGGCAAACCTCTGGTGAACACTGTAGCCAACCTTACAATTAGCACAATTAGGTGTGATTTCGGTTGACCAGAGGTTTGACCAGAGGTTCTGACCAGTGCCCCGAATGCACCCTCAGTGCCTTGGGCTCGATGAGGTTCGATTCGAGAACCCAAGACTCGCATGTGTCGCAGATGATGGATTTCAGGAAACCATTCTGAATGCGTCCTCATATCATACCGTTGTGGCGCGACGTGTGCGTGCACTCCCTGAAATTTCAAAATTGAAAATTTCGAATCAACCTGCTTCAATCAGATCTCTTTCGCTTGATAGCTTGTGAGTTGTGTGAGTATTTATAATTTTTGAACTTCACATGCCGCTTTCCACTAGGGAAGCGTGGGACCTGGGTGAGGGAAGGGTTACGCTTGACCTGCATTTCGACACCATATCTCATCGCACGCCGCAGACTATCTATGCGCATCACACTCGCATTTTTTGCTGTTGGAAACATGTAATTTACGCTTCTGGTGTGTCGAAACACTGAGCTGCAAGCGAGGCAAACTACAGCGGAGGAACAGCGAGTCAGCCGAAGAGGTTGACAAAATGTAACGGCGAGGAGGTTAAGCGAAGGTCAAAGGTGTTACGAATAGCAATGAATGAAGATTACAGAGCACTCCCGACCGCAGCTAAAGGAGCATGCAGTATGGAGAACGAATGTGAAGAGTCAGAATTGACTCGAAACGTCAGACGGTTGAGATGCATCTGGACCGTCGGAGCAGATGGCATCTGGCAGCTGCACGAAGAAGGATTCTGGCGGGAACAGTTTCGTAACTGTACGCGCCGCACGGTTGGGAATGAATTTGAATAAGGGAATGTACCCGTTAGAGTACATGGCTAGCTAGGTCGATTTGTATTCCGCTGTACTCTTATTTATATCGTTGTACTTGCATGTTTTAATCATCTCAAGCATTTTACATTCACTCTGCTATTGAGGTCAAGGGCCCACTACCACTAGACTAGAAGTGTGCGAACCTTCCTGAGGTGATCCTGGTTACGATCTATTTCTGATCCCAGCAAAAGGTCAGCGACCGTTGACTCGCCAAAAGGCAGCGCGACAGCAACGACACACAACTGACTCGTTATTGAGCAGTTGCCCGAGTCGCAGCTGTATCGAATCGCAACAGCAACAGTTAGTTATGTCTCTTCATATTCTCTGTAATCATATAAAAGCCTTATATTCCTTTGCTCTAATCAATCTATCTTGCTCTCACACACTAGTGCAAGGTGGTTCAACTAGTTCACTAAGAACGCTTCCGCAATTACATCATCACTTTGAGTCTTAGCCTTGAAACGATCCAAAGGGTTTTTCTCAACCCAACATGTGCCACACACCTTCGTCTCGCGCCTCTGATCCACTCGAGTTAATGGCCACGCCCGGCCTACACGTATGAAAGCTTATGCCTAGTCATAGTCTGCATGCTAGGGCTTAGGGTCTCGAAGCTGAAATAAGCTGCCAGTCTGTAGAAATTTCTGCCACCGGGTGTATGAGCTCCATGGAATGCCTTTCTGCAGCCACGCTAGCTTGTAGTTCACTAAGGAGTCCGAAATTTGTCAGTCTTGAAAAGGCACAGAGTTGGCACACGAAGAAATTCACTCGATTAGAAAGTGTTATAATCCCAAGTGGGACTTAGCGAAGGATCGCTCAGGGTTGATCGCAGGGTAGTGTTGCTGCGGAAGTATTTGTTACGATATGGAATAGTTGAATAAATATTCCTAAGTCACGAATCCTTAACGCGAAGATGAGTGCAGCGAGGACAAAAGACCAAGCGACAAGACAGTTATCGAGACAGTTACAAGCAGGAAGAATTTAAAGTGCAAAGCGCGGGAAATGTTCAAACGGTTACCGGACCGCGTACGACGACCGAACCGCACGGTTGCAATCCTGCATCTAGATTAGCCCTAAGGGGAATGTACCCCCTCAGAGTACATGGCTAGCTAGGACCTTTCGTATTCCATTGTATTCCTATATAAACCCCTGTACCGCATTGTATCAGTCACTTCTGTTGAGATTCAAATCTCCCTCTTCTGACAGAGTCCGTACTCGACATTATCAAGCAACCTTCCGCTGCTACACTCCGTGCGATCAACCTGAGACGATCCTATAAGACGGTTCAGATTGTATCAGTATTGACCTCAGGTCAGAGTGAATGTAAATGACTGAGATTGATTATAGCATGTATACATCGAGTTTATATACGAAATATAAAGGAATGCGAAACGACCTAGACTAGCCATGTACTCTAGGGGTTTCCTCGCCAAGAACCCCCCCCCGATGTACCTCACACTGTACCACCTTGTCACCCGCCTCCCTGACTCCCTTCGCACTATCAGGGACCAGTTCCTCGCCCTCTCTCCCACTGACCTCACTGTCGACCTCCTCGAGAAGGAGCTCCTAGCAGCTGAGAAGAGCATTGTAGCTGTAGGAGCCTCTCATGGTGACCCCCGCACCCCCTTCTTTGAGGGGTGCTCCCCCTCCCCCCTCCTCCCCTCCATTGCATCTGCTGCTGCTGTCGACTACCTCGGAGCTGAGAGGGTCGGGGCCGCGTCTGCTCCTAGTGGGAGACGCAAGGGCGGCAGGGGCAAGGGGGGCAGGGGTGGTGGAGGTGGAGGAGGGGGCGGCGGCGGTGGAGGAGGTGGGGGGGGCGGGGGTGGTGGCGGGAGTGGGAGTGGCGCGGGTGGTGGGGGGGTCAGTGGCGGCACAGGGGGTGGTGGCGGCGGCGACGGTGGTGGGGGTGGTGGAGGTGGTGCTGGCAGTGGTGGCGGCGGTGGAGCGGGTGGCGGGCGCGGTGGAGCGGTGTAGAGTGGGGGGTTTGGCGGTGGCCAGAGGCAGCAGCAGCAGCGCCCCGGCGAGGCTCCCTCGCCCCAGCAGCTCCGTGAGTGGTACTCTCAGCGTGGGGGGTCTGGGGGAAGGGGTACCTGCCCGTATGTCATCCGCACAGGTGACCACACTGGCCAGACTTGTGGGAGGTTTCACACTGCGCAGCGCTGTTTCTTTCGCCTCGTTGACGCCTGGCGCGAGCAGTTTCCTGACGCCTCTGAGCTGCCCCGCTGGGCTGATCTGCTTAAGAAGGGGATTGATATCTTTGCTCTTGATTATGATGCTATTCTTGCTGCTGTGTATGCATTGACTATTAGTGCTGAGGGTGACAATTACCTGAGTGTTCCGCCTGACCCGGGCATTGGGACCAGTGAGGCTGCAGCTCTAGGTGCTAGCGCATCTGCTGCTCTAGGTCCTGGTGAGGCTGCTGCCCTAGGTGCTAGTGCGTCTACGTCTGCTGGTGCCGCACCTACTGAGGCACTGCACACCTTCACACTGGACTCAGGTGCTTCCCGCTGTTTCTTTCGTGACCGCACTGCCCTAGAGCAGCTTCCTCGACCGGTTGCTGTCTCTCTGGCTGACCCCTCAGGGGGTCCGGTCCTTGCGACCTCCACCACTGCCCTCCCTTGTCCTGCTGTCCCGTCTGGCACGCTGTCGGGCCTCTACCTCCCCTCGTTCTCTACGAACTTGGTGGCGGGTTCCGCACTCCAGGACGCAGGTGTTCACCAGTTCACCCCGGCCTACGAGCGTGTGACGCACTGCACGTGTGCGCGGACGGGACGTCACCTAGCTACCTTCACTCGGCAGCCGGGGTCGGACTTGTACACACTGACCACTGAGTCTCCTCAGGTAGCTGCGTCTGCGTCTGCGTCAGGTCAGCTGTCGGCCCCCTGCTCGTGTCGCTCCCTGTCCCACAGGACTGTCCTCTGGCACCACCACCTTGGTCACCCGTCAGTGCAGCGCCTTCGCGGCATGCACTCCAGGTACCTTGTCTCTGGTCTTCCCAGGGTTCTCCCTCCCCTCCCACCCTCGCCTGCTCCTCCCTGTCTTCCCTGTGTCGAGGGGCGGCAGCGCGCCGCTCCTCACTCCTCCTCGTTCCCTCCCACAGAGGCTCCCCTGCAGACTCTCCACCTGGACGTGTGGGGCCCCGCCCGCGTCCGGGGACAGGGCCACGAGCGGTACTTTCTGCTGGTCGTCGACGACTACACGCGCTACACCACGGTCTTCCCCTTGCGTACCAAGGGTGAGGTCCCTGATGTCTTGATCCCCTGGATCCGCGCTGCTCGTCTCCAGCTCCGCCAGCGGTTCCAGTTGGACTTTCCAGTCCTGCGTCTGCACTCTGACAGAGGTGGCGAGTTTTCCTCTGACCTCTTGGCAGCCTACTGTGCGGAGCACGGCATCACCCACTCGTTCACGCTCCCGGCCTCTCCACAGCAGAATGGGATTGCTGAGCGCCGCATTGGTCTTGTCATGGAGGTCGCTCGTACCTCCATGATCCATGCGGCTGCCCCCCATTTCCTGTGGCCGTTTGCAG